AGATAGATAGAGAGAGAGAGAGAGAGAGAGAGAGAGAGAGAGAGAGAGAGAGAGATAGAGAGACAGAGAGACAGAGAGTACAAACATTTTTGTCCTGCGGCAGGATGCACGTGTACTGTTGTCTGTGAACAACGTTTTTTTTGTTTTGTCGTATATCATATATTTGGGTGACACGAACTCATTCCGCTTCCCACGTGTTCATTGATAGAACAAAAATTTGTCGACCATTGCCTTTTCCATTGTTTTGTGTCTCTTTCGTTTCTGCTTTTATTGTATTTTTCGATATGAACAACGAAGGCGGGGGGGGGGGGGGGGGGGGGGGGGGGGGGGGGGGGGGAGTGGTGGGGAGTTCGCAAATGTTGTCTGTTAATGACACAGTGTTTTCCTGTCCATGTTTGTCCCCTTCTATGGTTGTCATCGCGCGGCAGGACATTGGTGACGTTTCGATGGTCACTCTTATTTTCGATAGAAGAAAAGGTGAGTTATCGTGCAATGAAATTTTTTCATATAGAGTATGTCGAAAATATCAGAACGCGTCAAAAGACACGACCACATGCTCACAGTCAGACACTTACACATGCAGACCCATCCGAAGTCACAAGCACAGTACGAGCACAATAGGCAGACACACTGACATGTAAAAAACGAAAAGGAAAAAAAAAAAAAAAAAAAAGTGTAAGGTTGGCGCGTGCGGGCCGTTTCAACAAGAACAGTTACCATCATTTGGTAGATGGCACCCGGTGCCCAACCATGCATAAAGGCTGGCGATACTGTTGCTGTGTGTGCGACCCTTCAAAAGTGTGTTGCATTGCTTGTGCAAAGTTGAGATTCATATATATATATATATACTGTTTGTGACGATATATATATACACACAGAAAGAGAGAGAGAGAGAGAGAGGGGGAGAGAGAGAGGAGAGTAAGTCTCTTTGAGGATCTTGTTCAGAGGCAAAAACCTCCATCTCTGCCATTCTGTTTTTTCTTCCCCTTCCCACCCCCCCCCCCCCCCCCCGGTCTTTGGACTGAACGTGACTGTTGTCGTTGCACTGACAAACGGACTCAGAAAAACATAGAAAAATGACGGCAATGACGGCGGAACAAGTGGAGAGACCTGAGAGAGAGGTGATGAAGTACGTGACAGAGGGAATCCACTACAACAATGACGACGAGTTGAGACGATTACGCGTAAGAGCACCGGCGTACTTCAACGTCACCTTGGACATCCAGAGGTCAATAGCAGCAAACGGAGAAAAATCGACGAGAGCGCAGCAGTTGCTGCATCGCTTACAACAAAGTGCGTACGTGGCTAAAGACGAGACGTTGGCATGTTGCTCTGCGTACACCCTTCAGCGAGTTGTGGAATGGATGTGTGATGACGAAGGCATCGACAAGAGTAAGAGAGAGGGAGGTGGTTTTTACGATAGATCGGCGTTCAAGAAGTTTGTCACGTCTCGGGCGAAGGAAACTCGAATGTTGAAGACAGAAGCGCATGACATATTGAAGAGTAATGCAACAGAGATATTGGCACTCAGCAGGATGAACGAGCTACCTCAAACAGACCCTGTTGACTACCATGATTTGGCAACAGTGGTGGTGGACGATGTCGAGTACGTCTTGCTCGATCAGATTCTGGATTTCATGTTGAAGACAGATAATGATACAAATTTGATTCACGAGGCCTTACACGAGGTGATAGAGGACGCAATAGCAGCAGCAGAGCTTGCTGATGTCAAGAGCACAAAGGATGAAAATCAACTAATATCGGGGACTCCAATATGTCAGGGGGACATATTCACAGTCCTGGCGGACCTCACCAGGGCATTAACGGAAGCGGAGAGAATGAGCAAAAGAATGCAATGATTGCAATTGGTTGTTGCGACAGCAATCAATGCGACACACCATATGCCAGAGAGCACACTGCAGACTACAAGTGGCGTGGGATCTGTAACAGCGGTTCAGAACCGATTGACGATTCCTACTGCGGATACGTTGAGTGTCCATAATGCATTCAGAGCGTGGAGATTACCACTCTTTCGTCCTTCATATCAGATTATCGAAGGACACGAACAAGTGGCATTCCAGGGAGTGCATGCGGATGGCGGAACTAGTGAGAGTAGCAATGCACAGACAGGGGATGATAAGAAACCGCCGTCATGCGAGGTGGAATTGAGTGGCAGTGATATCTGCGATGACGAAGAGGGTGACGAATACGACTCTTATTGGGACGTTCAGCGTGGTGGTGGACCGACCCCGAAAGGGTGGTGTCATGCAATTTTAAGGTTGGCACGTGTTTTCGCAGAGCCACACCCGTTGATACGTGTTGTGGACAAGGCAATAACACCGGACGGGTCTCTTCAGTTCGCAGGCGTTAAGGCAGTTCTGTCGTGCATGGAAAACGGTAAACAATGGCGTCGCACAGGAAAATCATGGTTTGTTCTCGTACATAAGGAGACAATTCTTATGACATCAATGTCATGGGGTGTGAACCTCAGTTGCATCATACATGGAGCAGTTGTCACTGCATGCGGAGGAACCGTGCATCCCACAATGTCAACAGCACATGCAATTATAAATGCACAACCAAAACGCCGACTCTCTCTCACGACAGACGACACCATCGATGTTGCGATGGACAGAGGACATTCAGAGGAAGAACATTCAAAACGCAGAAAATTCTAGGACTTTTTTTTTTTTTTTTTTTTTTTTTTTCTCTCTCAACTTGACTCTATTATTGTTTTGACCGTATCACAGTCACTCACGCTTGTGATGATGTGGTTGGGAAGTGGGGGCCATATATAAAGACAATGTTGGTATATTACGGCGTAAGTGACACCCACTTCCCAACCTTGCACAAATGTGAGTTTTTTTATGTCTTTATTGCTGAAATTGCATCACATTTACAGACCGGTCTTCCAGATACATTCGTGACGATATCGTTGAGATGTCGGGGCTGTGTATTAACATGTTGTTATCGTATTCCGCCATAAGTTACACCCAGTTGCCAACTTTGCTGAAATGTTGCAGTTACACAAATTGGTTCCTAAGTCCTCTCTCTCTCTCTCTCTCTCTCTCTCTCTCTCTCTCTCTCTCTCTGTTATTGTTTTGACCGTATCACAGTCACTCACACTTGTGATGATGTGGTTGGGAAGTGGGGGCCATATATGAAGACGTTGTTGGTATATTAAGGCGTAAGTGACACCCACTTTCCAACCTTGTACAAATGTGAGGTTTTTTATGTGTTTATTGCTCAAATTGCATCACATTTACAGACTGGTCTTCCACATACATTCGTGACGATATCGTTGAGATGTCGGGGCCGTGTATTAACATGTTGT